CCCCAAAACCCCAAAACCCCAAAACCCCAAAACCCCTGAATCATTTTAGAAATTGTAATAATTTAATTTTTAAGCAGGAATATGAGTTATTGTGGAAAATGAAGAATATAGTTCATGTTGTTAGCTGGGCCAGTGTTGAGTTCGAGAATGCTAGACAAGTAAGTTAGATTTTAGAGAGAAGATATGAATCTGGAAAGGAAGAATTTGGGCTCTACGGAAGGATTAGAAGTATATGGGTTTTTGTAGAGTGGAATTCTAAGTTATATACCTTTTGTGAGCAACTTCTGGGTTGACAGTGGCCATTATGTTTTGAGTATTGTGTGCTTTGTGAGGATTCTTAGGTGTTTTGAAACTATTTTTACGGGGCAGCTGAGATTGAAGAATTTTTGGAGTAGTGGTCTGAGTTGCTAACGAGTGACGCATTTGTGCACCTCTAAAAAATTTTATTAGACAAAATCACTTAAAACCTTTCCTTTTCAAAATTTCACCTTAAAAATTATGAAATAATAAATTCTTATATAAATATCTGAAGATTTTATAATCTTCGATTAAGCCCAGTACTCCGTTTAAAAACGACTATTAAATCTTATTATGATCAAATAAAGGTATGGTCAGAGGGAGCTGTAAAACGCATGGCTTAATAAAAATCTATGAACTATCCCAAGATCTGTCCTTATTATTCTAAAGTCATAGTTTATTGCTAAATAAAGGATAGGGTCTCTACAATTATTGCACAGCCAAATACTCATAATTTCCATCTAAAATTATTGTATGCACAGATTTTGACTGGAAATAAGCAGGATCTGTTTGTAGAAAGCATCCTCCAATGTTAGGCAAATCTTAAGGCTGCCAGAATCCTAGTATATTACCCTAAGTCCTGTGCCTGGTGATTCCTAGACATCTGCTTGAACCTTGATGGGTGGGATGCCTCCTTCAGATCAGCAATAGACTTCACTGGCACCTGCTCAATAGTTCGAGAAGCCTGGGCTCTAGGATTTCTTGAAAAATTATTGTTACTCATCTTCTTCAGATTTAGCAAGGATTGCTTTAAAGGTGCAGGACTTTTTAGCCTAACCTTTCGAGGATTTGCATCAGGCAGCTGCTGGATCGGATTATAAGGAGTATATTTAAACCCAGACGCTTTGGAATCATCCTTAGAGTACGACTCATGCTGATGCTCTATTGGTCTAAACTGCTGGTTTTTCCTTTGCACAAACTCTTTTTCCTATAGCTTACTCCTAAGGCTGCTTACGCTAATCTGGTTCCTTTTATTTCATTGGGTCACCCATAAAATCCTCCACCTTGATCTTGTGTTGGATGGCTTTCTCCTTGGTGAGGTATTTATGAAACTGCTTCTTCATTCTATCAAGGTCGTTATTATATATTTCAGAGATGGGAATACCCTGGTACCCCTTGATTCTTTGATTCCTCTGCTCTTGTTTTCGATTATGATAGTTATTCTGCATCTGAGCCAGAAGGACCTCCTTATGGTCCTTCATGACTTCTCTATAATACTCCTTCCTGGTCGGAGAATTTCAAAGAGGGTACATAAACGTTGTCTCGTCTTGGTAGTCTTCACAGTCGATAGTTTTCGCATTCTTTGAGTTACTTAAGACATCCGTTCTCTGTTTCTCAAGGATAGACTTCTTGAAATAATTCGTAGCAGGATCTTTCCAGTGATCTTTCAAGGTTTTACCTAGTTTCAATGTATTGGATAATTTCAAATTGTCGTAAGAATTGTTACGTTTGCCTTCATATGTGATTTTACTATAATTTTTAACCTGAAGTCTTACTTAGCTCGCCTGCTAAAGTCCTTGCCTTGGGCTAACTTTCTTGAGAACCCTTGGTTGGCTAGAATACGGTCAGATTGGAGACTTAGGAGATTACCTTCTTCAGTTCCTTGATTGATTTTATTTGATCTGAGCATTATCTCGCATTTGCTGGTTCAGCCAAACCTTGGTGAGCTCTGCAAGATCTTTATTTACGAGTTTTGTGTTCTTCATCAGCAACAGTGATGGTTTTTAGCTGTTGGAATTCCTGGTAAGCAGCATTTCTAGTCTTGGGTTCCACTCTGGTCCCAGGGATCCATCCTTCTTCCTTTCCTGGGGATTTACTTGATTTGTGGAATGGGTAATGGTTCTCAAATATCATCGGATTTGGCCTAGGAACTGGCATTTTCAAGCTTGACTAAATCAAATTATGAGTTAAGATCATCCTAAATCTCACCAGAATTTTAATAGATAGATAATTAATTTCTTAAGTTATGAAAAGGTTGTTATTTTTGGTCATGCATAAAATGCTCAATGAGTAAGGCGTAGCCTTGATTTTTGGAATACCTCATTTCCAATAAAGTATGAGAATAAGTGAGGCTAGGGAATGATCAAGAGTTGATCTTTTTATATATTCTTGATAAAAAGTTGCGAAGTTTGAGAAACCATTCGTATTTTAGCATTCACTTAATAATCTTGTTTCAAACAATTAGTTGATAAAAATAGATATCTATGGAACCTACCAGCATTCCTCTGGACCTGGACCTTTGTGGCACAAAAGGAGTATTATAAGGGTTTGACACATTCTTTGGCCTGATCCTACTTGGAGTTAATGTCTGAGAATGATGCTTCTCTTTTAGTCCTTGGCTATATACCAAAATATGGTTATATTCTCAAGAAAAATGCAAAAGTTACCTCTCCTGCTTTGGCCGCTGGATAACAGAGGCTGCTCTCTTATTTCTCTCCATAAGTTTCCCAAATTCCTCGTTAATATAGCCTCCATAGCCATCGATAGGATTTGCTGCATACATATTGTGTTTAATTTTATTGTAATAAAATTTGGGGTTTTGGGGTTTTGGGGTTTTGGGG